ACGTGCTCGTAGTAAATAGTAAACGTGACGTCATTCACGTGTGAGAGGCAGAGGTCCGAGCGCGTAAGACGGAGACAGAGATAAAAAAAATTACCTTTTACATAAATTACGATATCTCGAAAACGGAAAGTCGGATCGTCAAAAACCAAAAACCATTTTAAAGGGGAAGCTTTGCCGCTCCTAACAATACCTCAATAATTAATAAAACGCTAGTAGTTTCGGAACTACACGCATCTAAAGTTTATATACTTTTAATAAGCTTTTCTAAGACGGAGACTGGAATTTTAAAAATTGCCCCTTCATTTAAATTACGATATCTCGAAAACGGAAAGTCGGATCATCAAAAACCAAAAACCATTTTAAAGGGGAAGCTTCACCGCCTCTAACAGCGTTTCAATTATGGATAAAACTCTAGTAGTGCCTAATCTACGTGTGTCTAAAGTTTTAGTATTTTTGTCGCGTTAAAACTGTGACTATTGCGCGAAGAGATATGAACTTTACCCTATTTAGAGTTACTTAAGGTCGTTAATTTTGTTGCGTCGCGAGTAGTGGGTCGGGCATATTTGGCAACACTTAAGAAAACGTGTTCTTAAGAACGAAAGGACTACGTTTCTCGCGACTCTTCATATTCGACAGTGTCCTTACGTCCAGTCGACGAGCCTAAGAGGCCATAAATTAGAAAACTCCGCTTTTAACTACCCCGTAACCTAGTCTACCTTTCGTCGCACTTCTTTTTCGTAACTTCACCTTGTCATAACTCCTTCCTACTATTTTTTAAATAATAAACCCCTGACTAATCTCATCTATCCAAACGCTTTATATTGTTTCACAAGACTTTCTCATTTTATCGAATATAATTTAATTTGTACATTATCTACATAGTCAATAAAGCTTCTTGACCGGTCACGCAATTTTAACTTGACGCGTGATGCGTGCAGAGCATTACATTTTACGCGAAACACATTACTTCGTAAGATGCTATCTGTTCTAGAACCACCATATTACTTAGAGTCGTTTCTGCAAAGTGTTTCTGGCACGATAGCACAGAACGTGGCTTGTAATTAGCAAAACGAAGTTATAAAACATCGTACGACATGAACTTTTGAGATATTGCTCTTGTACCATATAACGATCTATAGCGGATGCGTCGTCGACTGTCGGGTTTAATATTAGAATTATGTTTCGTTGATTTCACAATGCACGGGCGCGGAAATTCGGACCGCGTGGGCGGAATTCTGGGCAAAGGACGTAATAAACGCTGAGCTGTCATCAGATATGCGACACGGTTTATCAGGAGCCGATTAAACGGTCCAACCGAATCCACGCAAGCCAGTCTCGCGTGCAGGGAATCGGCCTCTTCAATTATAATATTTTATAGACGAAACCAGGCTGCACGGGCTCGCGTGTAATTTCGCTAATTGCCCGGTGATAACAACGAAGATTTATCGTTAATTAGACACTTCCTGAACGGTTTATTTATTACACCGTGCATTACAACAGGACCGCGCGATCAATTTCTATTCGACTTCGCGATAAAACTGCACGGAGAGCACAAAAATCCCTTTTGGCGTTAAACAGATATTCACGAAGACGTTGTTAGAACTGACACGATATTTTCTTATCGATCGAATTGCGTTTCCTTTCCAAGGTTTCGAATACGAGAGACATAAAAAAACTGTCAGACTATAATCGAGACGATAAACTGTTCAATCCTTTCATGTCGACATCAAGAAACTCGTCGTTGGCAGAAGTCCTCCGGCGGATGGCGATTACGCGGAGCAGTAAACGTAATGGAAGCGGCCATTTTAAGGACCGTATCCTTAATATAAACCGAAGTTACGACGGTGTAAATATTACGACGGATAAAACTGCACCTTCGTACGCGAAAGATAATGTGGGACGATCGACGCGGGGACAAGACGAACGATAGTAAATTAATTGAAAATTCAACGTCGGTGTGCTCGCGTCGAAAAACAATGCTCCTCGGACGGTTCTCGCGCTCGCTAACAATAGGATCGCGTAGAACGAGACACTGTAGGAAATAAAATAGCACTAGACTCGATCTGGGTCACCTTAAAGAGCACACGCCTAGCCGAATCGCGGAGGAGAAATGGAGAGTGCCTGGAGTCTGTTCGATTGGACCGAATCCCTTTCCACCTGAATCTTTCTAAGTCCGTTCCATCAGCTGTGCCCGAGAGCTTCGCCTCGATTTCGCCGCCCGAAACTTAGGACTCTAGACAGCTGAAGCTAGGCGCAACCTGCCTAGGGCTGCACTCAGAACTATTGATAACAGAATCCATTTAAGGGTTATCGGGCGAATTACTTTCTGATTTAACAAGTGGGTCAAACGGGGTATAACACCGTCTTTACGAGCTTTCTATTGTTATTTGTCTTGAACTAACAGAGATATAGATGCGAATCAAGCCTAAAGAAATTCTAATTAAATTTACAAAAGGGACAATTGAGAAGCGGACAGCTTTGTCGGATGTGGCGACGAATTTTCGCAATTTTTCTCGCCGTAGATCGGTACTAAAGCTCCCGGAGGTTGACACAGCCCCGGCGCAGCCGTGGGCTGATTCCACGTAGAAAGGTAAAAACGCCGTAATAAATCACCGGGGGGAGAAACGGGCGGAAGAAACGTAGAAGTTGGCCAGAAGGAGAATATATCCGCCGCGAGAAATACGCCCGGTGCCACAGTGGGAAAGTTATTATAATATGACGGGAAACGTATCGTCGTTGGTATTCCGGCCGCGGTGTAATACTTGAACGACGAAAGCGAACAATATGTAAGCGAGGACGATAATGCGTTTTGCCTCGTACGTAATGCAGTCGTCGAAATGGACGTTTCTGCTTCCAGAGTAACACTTTATTCGAGCAGCCGTCGAATAGAGTTAAATATACTACGAGTACAAGCCTTTTACAGAGATACAATATTCTGTAATTCAAATTCGAATTCGTACTCGATCGGTGCTGGAAGCTTCGCGATATTGGAACCGGCTGAAACCGTACGAGGTGGTCGAAGAAGTAAACAAAAACACGCTGTCTGCCCTTTTACTCCGGTTCGATTAGGAATCGACGTTTCTAAGCTTTGTTCCAAGGAAATAGAAACATAGTTCTTGGAAGGAATTACGAGTCGTATTGGGTCAGGCGTAATAGTTAGTCTGTCTGAGGTCCGTGACTAGGCAAACATTACTCGACGACACGTTATATTTGCTGATCACATACTCCTTTGCTTGAGACTGATTTCTTTATTATATAGACATTGATGATCTAAAATAATTTTTAAAATTTGAGATCGATGACAATTGAAATAGTCGATGGCGATGAAATTCCATAAGGGAAACTTTAATGTTTCCCAAAATTTGCCTCTTCAAAAAATAAAAGATCGACGATCGACCAAGTAAAATCTGAAAATAGTACAGCGATATTATTCGTGTACATCTGATTTCACGATATCGCGTATCGTTCGAAATCCACGCTGAGGGGTAATTTACAAAGTCGAAGAAGTAAACATAAACGCGCTTTCTTAGCTCTCTCGCCTGCGGTTCAATCGATCGTACCAGCCACTAGAAAAACAAACCGCGCGAAATCTCGATTGCCGCGTTACGATCGCGAAAATATCCATTCATGATTCACAACGGCAATCCCCGACGACTGAGTCACGCTTGAATGTCAAACGCCTGGCCTCTGTATCGCGTTTATATGAAAACTGACCTCTTTCCGATCCGCGATCGGCCAAATTTATCGTTCGAACGGCGACAGGAGGCAGCGTTCTCGACGTGTGTGTGTGTGGGGAGAGAAAGTGTTACGGAAAAGGGTGTCGTTGAAACGAACAATGGGCTCGACAATAAATCAAAAGCGTTTATCCGCGTCTCCGGGAGCTTCTCGGACGCGTCATTGATCACGCGCGACGAAAAACCATCGCGTTTGCACTATTCGCGCCAAGTCGGCCGTCTCGAGAAAGGATCAATAATGTGTTTCAATTTGTCACGTCGTACCAAGGACGTCTCTCGCGCCTCATTAACGAAAGACGGTCCCGCGGAGCTCGTTTCTTGCTGGACATTCTTCGAATCGACGCACTCGCGGTTCGATCCGAGCACACACACGGTCCAACTTCCGGCGCGGTGTCGACGTGTCCGGTAGCCGCGACAGGACTGCATCCTCCACGTGCTTCGCGGTACGCTCACGCGATAACAAAGCATGCACCCTTATCAGTGACGCGAGCGTTACACCATCTATTCGTCGTTCCTGGAAATCGAACGCTCTTTGCACGCCATCTAACCGAGGGTGGTTGCAACTCAGCTTCAGGGGTTGAAATCGATGGAAGTCATTCGAGTAATTTGGAGTTTGATTACGTTTAACTATGTTAGATATTGTCTTAGGGTTGAAACTGTATTCACAATCTACCAAAAATGTATTAAATATGCTTTGGTTTGAACGAAGGGTAATGGTTTCGATTTTTATTTGAGGCAGTCGGTAAGGGTAGCTAGAAGGGAAACCCTTTCGGTGTTTCGCATTGATTTTCGTGGCGTTTGGAGAGGAATGGAACAGATGGCGAAAGCTCGTAGACCTGGCGAGCATGCGTCGACATACACGTGGTCAGGTGTGTATGTATCAACAAATCTGAAGATTTGTTTAGATACGACTTTGCTTGTGTCTTCTTCGTAAGACGACAATCTGGTCACTTTGTACGGTCTGAAGCAATAAATATGGACACTTTCGTTCCCATTTCAGTCACAGAGCTACATATTTAGAATTACTGAATAGTAACTTTTCTAAAATTGTTTTTAAATGTTACAGTATGGTGACGAGTATTACTATAAATAAATCACAAGCTTGAGAGTCAAGGGCAAGTAAATACACATAGAAAATTTTGGAAAGTTTTCAAAGTGTCCAATTATTTCAAAGAATAGATCATTTGTAGTCTGATATTTCTCTCTGTGACTGACAATTTCAGAAGGAAAAGGTTAATAATAATCTTAAAAGAAATCAAATCCTACCTTATTGAGGGTCTCGTGACTAGTCAGAATGTGCTGGCTACCATCGGGATGAAGGATACGATCGACTGAATTTGGTCTAGGAACTCCATCCAACTGTCCGGCCTCCTTCAGCTGGGGTGGCGACGGAGGGGGTGGCAACTGCTCCTCCACGCCTCTGCCGGTGTATCGCGTCTTCTGCAATTCGAGGCGAGTTTCAGTACCGAGTGAATTCACTGGCAAGGATAACTAACCCGAATTATTCTCAATTTTATCACCGTGTCCGTCACTAAAATTTTAATATGTACCCTCGTCCATTTGGTTTTGCGTTTAACGTGATGGTCGACGCGTTTCTGATCGTCCGCGTCTGTTCGCTGCCTCAACAGGCATACCTCGCAAGGACCGACTTTGTGAACGTTCAAGAAGATCATTGCTACGTGGTAGACGGCGAACCAAAACAAAATCGATGTGGGGGGGAATGTAAATAAACCAGCGCTCCGACGTTGTTTCGACTGGCTGGCCTCGGCTCCGACTGACGCGCTCGTCGCATCAGGTTTCGATATCGACGACGCTTCGACTTTCATCGGCTAATCTCCCGGAATCCCGGATTTCATTTCATTATCGCGGCCCAGCGGGGCTTCAGGATACGACGCGTGCTGTAGGGGGGGGGCTTTGCTGCGTCGATGATCGCAGCGAACGTTTACTAAAACCACGACGACGCATACGAGTAGACCTTACATTCAAAGTATTTTTTCGGCCCATTTTTGTGGGCCTCTCCAACATTCTTAGAATTTCTACATACTCTTCATTAAAATACGCGTCGCTTGCATTTTGAAACATCAAAATCCTTCGATCCGTTCAGGAGTTATGATTTTTTAAACTTGCGCATATAATTTCAGGGGAATCGTTCATTCATGGCCAGAAATTTTAAAAAAGAATTTTTTTCTCGAAAATGCGTAGGATTTCGGGGCTATGTCTATTCATGAAAAATGATTGTAATTGATCCCCGCGATCGAAAATAATTTTTCCAGGTCGATTTGAAATTTTTTTTTTCACCGAAAAATATGAGCTCTACTTCATAAATAAATTTCAATGAAATACACTCACTGTTGTAACTTAGTCATCCCAGATGATTTACTACTATTTCCCTACTGTTTCAGACATGTATGATATCAGACATTCAAAACGTTTATGTTTCCAAGAAATATTCCACCGTAGGTTCTGTGTTATTTAATTCTTCTGGTAGGCAGAATTCGTTGAAGTAGACTTGGTTTCTACATCGATTTGTATTGTACTATTCATAACGGAGATCTAATTTTAGATTTTTGTATTACGTCCTTAGGTTGAACGTTGCGGAATGACCACCCACAATTCCAGATTCGACCACGCTGTATTTCTTCTCGTATAAAGAATAAAATTGCTCAATGGCCAATGAAAGCACAAATTACAGCTCGTATTTCACGGTGTTAACTTGGAAATTCAGGGCACTGTGATTCAATAGTTTCACATTTGTTCTCGTGCCCTTTCTCTCCACGTAAAAGGAACTAAATTTCCATAAAAAAAGAACTTATACCTGCCAGGAACTTCTGGTTTTCGATTATAAAATTTTAATCACCTCTTCCATTTTCTATTTTTTTTCTCATACATGTCTATGTGCAGTTTACTATTAAAGTACACCAAGACTACCTTTTTTTGCTCAAGCATTCTTTCATAATAGTAAAATTTAATTATTATAAGAGTCCAGTACGAACAGTAACGACAAGTAGTATTCTTAAGATTCTAATATACCCATAGATAGATTTGTTAATGATTCTACTCGCAAAGATATCAACTGTCTTCGAGAAATATGATCAATCCTTCGATGAAGTACTTCTTTAAATCCTCCATAGCTTAGGGGCATATTCGCTGTATTTTCCCCGCGGCAAAACGACGCGATCGAATGAAATAAATCGATGGCACTTCGAGCTCAATTCTCCGACCAGTCAATTTTCCAGCGCTTTAACGCGATCGTGTCGGTAAATGAACTACACGTTGATCTACGTTCGGCAGCCGGCTCGTATAAATAAACATCGGCTTCCTGCTTTTCAAACGAATTTAGCTAAAAGCCCCGCGCCGAATTTCCAGGGCGTTTTAAACGCGCGAACATCGAAAACGACGACTCGATTCTGCTTAAAAATACGGGAAACCCTATTAACGTCGACCCATTCCGCGTTTCTATAAATTATTCGGTATCGCGTTTCGCGGTGTCGTTTCGACGGTTTTCGAAACGATATTTCGTCGCGCGTTCGTTTACCCGGCCTTTGAATTAGTGCCGCTATGGAATAAACGCGCCATGTAATTGCGTTTATTGGCAAGTCTATTGGAACTCACGTGATTCCAGCAACATCCGCAAACATCGTTCCAACATTTCGAATCCAGCGAACGAACGTTACGATTGCCGCGCTGCATGGACTGACAGGGTCTCTTTGTTCTTCGTCTGCGCACTTTCATGGGCACCCCGTACATATAGTCGCTGAAACGACGCCTCGAATGACGCACGATAGACACCCAGTCGATCATTGTTTCGTTCCGTTGAACCGCGTTTCTCGTTCACTTTGATCCGCCGCGCGCTAGTGCTTTTCACGAGGCTTCGCACCGTACTTTTTGCATTTTAATATCGCGTCGACTCGCCAAACCTCCCTTCGTCGACCATTTTTGTGGCAACTGGTCCACAAAATTTCCTATTATCGATGAAATCCCAATTTTACTCAGAATTTCGATGAATACTCGCGAAGGGGCTCTTAATTGCACTTGTTAGTCCAATAGTTTAAACATTTTTCTACAGGAAATTTATTTCTATTAAATCTATTCAATTTTAGACCAAATATATAGGTTTTCTTTTGCAGAAATGTTAGGTCCTTGTATTTCTATTTTTCTCAATAATTATAATCCAGTTCAAACGCTCGAATCCTCCGAGTGCAGGAGCTCCAAATGCATTTCTTCTTCTTCTTATAAATACGCGTCCATTTCTGCTTCCCAGTTTTTTACTTCGACGTTTGCACGCCCACGAGATCTGCGCGAGATATATTATACATCAGGCGTGGCTTTTAAATTCACTAAATTACTGCAAGTTTTACACAAGTATCCAGTTTGCCATCTAAATACGCCCTTTCACGCGATATTTCACAAACAGGATTCGCGCTGTCGTTAATTCAACCTGCGCGGAAACTCAAATTAAATCCAACTTCGCGAGTGTACTTTTACAGAGGATTTTTATGGGAATTTTTGTTAAAATTGCGATCTAGTTCGAACCTCTGGCGCACACTATCGAAACGCCGAATGCATTTCATCATTTCACTTCCACTTTTTACTTAACTATTCACGTTATTTCGCGAACCGGTGCAGAATATATATTCAAACGTGGTTTCCAAACTTCCTGGAATCTCATCAATCTGGCTTTTGTAGAAATTCAAATTTGGCGCAACTTTGCAGATTTACATCTCCGCGTCCAGTTCAATTATTCACTTCTATCGACTTTCAGCCACTTTATTTCCCGTTAAAAAATTCGGCTCGTTTCGAATCTTCGGATCTCGTTGCTCGGAACCGCCAAACACATTTCTCTTTCGCACAAATACGCATCGATTCCCCGGCTCCCTACTTTTTATTTCACTGTTTACACGCCCCCGAGAGCTCGCTCGGAATATATATTCAGGCGTGACTTTCGAACTTGGCGAAATCGTTTCTCCGATAAAAAATAAATCATCGGGTCTCGCGGCTGTCGCGCGCGATCGCGCAATTTTCTTCCAGTCACTGTTTCGCGCCCGGAAACATTTCGATAGTTCACGGTGAATTGTTCGAAAAGACCCGATGACGCTCTTCAAAAATTCTCCCCATTCGCTTCATCCGCCGTTTTTACGCTCTTTCAAAATGTTACGCGCGATGAAAAATGAATTAAAATTCCCAGTGCCCGTCACTCGTCTTCCGTTTGTTCCTATCTCGCGGATTTCTGCAAGCAATTTCCACGTTCCGCCATTACTTTACGGTGCTGAGGGTCGAACGAACGGACACCAAGCCAATGACAGTGAATCCCGATCGACGTCAAGAAACTGGAGTAGTGACCCCTCGTCGTTGGGATACGTGATACAAAAAAAGTGTCTATAAGAAGCTTGTTCGGCAAAGGGTGGACAGTAATACCAATCCTTTTAACGAATAAACTACATCAACATCTACTCGTCATTACTTCAGCTACATGATTCGTACACATGGATACTTCGACTAGTATTGAGTTCTCGATTCATTCATCAACGTTATACTCGTTATTTATAAACTGATAAATTTTCCGTACCTCGATAACAACGTTGGTATTCTCTTTTGTTATCACACATTTTATTTTATACGCGCAATGAAACAGAGAGAAATTTACTTGAATTATATCGCAATAGAGTTGTTTGCACTGCCTTTTATCGGTGATATTTTATTTAAACGAAGCTTTTAACTAAATTGAGTTCTCGCGAAATCCTTTGACAAATAAATAATATTTACTGCTTCGCGTTTGAATCAATTGCAAAAGCCCGCGTCGCATGTACAATTTAAAAAAAATAAATAAAATTCGGGTAATATCGATGAAATAAATGGTGCATTAAAATTCTACTAAAATTATAATACGAGAAAATATTTTAGCGTTTAACCTGGACTCGTGATATCTTCAGGATCGAGCTATCAAAACGCAGGGGCGAAAGAACGTGGTGTCCATCGATTCCTTTTATCGAACAAATTTCTGTAATTAGTTTCGATGTTGCTTAAAAAAACTGCGTGGCACGGGGAATCGCAAAGAAGACAGAGCGTCACAAAGACCCGAGCCAATCGATGACAAACCCCGATAAATGTCGCCGGAAGGGGGGTGGATAATAAAAGAGTAACCGTAAGAAGGAAGTTCTCTCGTTGAACAACGCCTGGCAATTCCTTTAACGATCCCGCGGAATGTTTCTCGCGAGATAAAGACGTGAGAAATGAAATTCGAGGACAGGGGCGGAAGTGAACGTCGTAAGGTTGACACTAATGGAAGAAAAATGTTTCCCATTCGGCAAAGAGTAGGGGAATTCAACGACGCGTCCCGTCCTTCGCGCTGTGTTTCCTCGTTCCGCGGGAAAATTGGTCCTTCTGTGTTATCCTTCGCGATGCTATCTTTAACATCGCCGAAGAGAAGACAATGTTCGGCG